ATGGGATTAGCTTATTAAATTCCTATTTAACTTTATAAATTTATTTATTTATTTTGATTTGATTAGATAATAAAAAAAGATAAATACAATAGAAGATAAATAAGATAACTTATATAGGTGCCTATTATGATGAAAGGGCTCGCAAAGGTGTCATCATAGTAGATCTGTAAAGTTCGCAACTTTCTCGGAGGACCTCGAAATCAGGCCGGCGAGAGAGAAAGCCATTTTCATGTTGCAGACCCGAAATTCGAGTTTTGGGGTCAAAAGAGGCGGAGAGGGCCAAAACAGAAAAAGTATCAAGTCGGGTACCCCACAGGCCAGAAAGGTCAAAATTCCACCTCTGGCCTGTGGGGTGAAATATTGATGCCCGGTACAAAGTCGGCCGCAAAGTCCAGGCCCACAATCAAAACTGCAGCAGCGCTCCAAGAAAGTCTTGAAGGTACTGGGCCTCAATATTTCAAAAGCAAACAAGCGGATGGCGTCTGGTACCAGTCGAGTCAGGCCCAGACTCGACTGGTACTTGTCGCCATCCGCCTGTCAAACAGAGGCCAGCGAAGCAACGGCCGAGTCCAAGTCAATAAGAAGACTGGCCCAGCCTCATTCAAGGAGGTTGCCCATTCGCAAGAAGGTGGAAGCACGGTTCGTGCTCGTGCACTGTTGCGAGTGGCTGAGCGCTAAGGAGCCCTGCTGGACAGCGCTGTGCTGTGGTAGATAGAAGGCCATAGTCACACAGTAGTAGTAGTAGTAGACCACGAGTAGGAGGCGGATGTATCCAGGGTTATGATCCTCATAGTAGCAGAGACTGAGAGTGTACAAGAGAGAGAGAGAGAGAGAGAGAGAGAGAGAGAGAGAGAGAGAGAGAGAGAGAGAGAGAGAGAGAGAGAGAGTTGAGTGTTACATACTTCATTGAGGTTGCTGGGTACTGCGCTGATGAGCGCTTGGTGACACGAACTCCGAATCAGTGTAATATGATGTTGCGCTGATGAGCGCTTGGTTACGCGAACTCTCTTGAGCTTTGTATAATATGATCATCCGCACCCACACATTTGTCATTTGGTCGGATACTCGGCGGAGTTCCCAGCATATATCCAGCTTCGCGCCTACACATTACTGTGTAAGTTGTTTCAAGAACTCTGACAGCAGAGCCTCTTGAGAACTCACGAGTTGTCGTAATTCCGAAACAACAGATTCGCTTCTTGCTTCAAAAGTAGCCTTGAAAGCTTCTCGCCAAAACCACGCGGAGTGACAAAAATGAGTATAATTGCACTATGGGCCAAGATACAGTTTCGAATTGCAGTTCAGGCAATGTATACAACCCAGTTTTCTGGCCAGGTAGGGTGCCCCAAGTGCAATAATTACAAACTGTATCTTGCCCCATAGTGCAATTATTATAACTCCTTTTTGTGATTCGACTGAAGTTACGCCTATGATCATTCATTGAATTCTCTGAGCTGCGCTAATCTGGTCACTCCACCTCTGGACTTCGGTGCGGATTTTGGTGTGAACTCTCGTTGTGCATGTGCTTGGAGTGTCAATACAAGTGGTGCGTTGCAAGTATGTTTCCCAGCTAGAAAATCAAAGTTGTGGCGTGAAGACTGACTGCAACGACTCTCGCAAAGTACTAGGGTGCCATGTCGCTGGACATCCATGCAGGCAAAAGGACCAAGGATCAGATCTCGATCTTAGTCGGGTCCCCACGGGCGGCCCCAACCCTTTCACCAAAGATTTTTTTTATTATTATTATTTTTTTTTGAAACGAGGCTTCAATCTATTCGTGGGGAGCAGCACGTGCTGGGAACCGGGCCCAGCGTCCCATATAAAAAATTAACAGATGGTTTGGAAGTATGGCTGAGAGACAAGAACATATGCACAATTCAGAACAAACAACTCAGACATCCCCAATCAATCCCCTGTACCCTGGCAGGCAGCAACATGTAATTCCTTCACTGTGAGACGTAGCAGGGCGCCTTCTAGCATGGCAGCGTGGTTGTCAAAAAAAAAAAAAAAAAAAAAAAAAAAAAAAAACCACGAACCTATGCTTGCAGGGGTCTCCAATATAAGCTTGGGAAGTTAGAAGTAGTGGTAGGTGGTAGGTAGGTAGGTAGTGAAAGGTGAATCGAGAGAAAAATAATAAAATATAGCTTAGTAAAAAAAAAAAAAAACAAGAGGGATCAGAAACAGATTATTGTAGTTGATGGAGGCAATTCACACTCATTTTGAGCAAAACCAGCTAAGAACGAATCTCACTGTCAATAAATTCTAAGGCCTCGCCCCTTCCCATCTTCCCCTCTGCCCCCTCGCCCTCTGCCCCCTCGCCCTCTGCCCGCAACCCGAAAAAAAAAAAAAAAAAAAAAAAAAAAAAAAATTTAGCAAAAAAACGTTAAACAGTCCTCAATTATGTGCCTCGTTGCAACAGTGAAGACCAAGCTGTGGAAACAGATTGGCATTTCCCTCTTTGCAATGTTTGCATGTAGTTCCGAAAGTTCTATCTAGGAGGAACTTCAAAGAAGAAGGACTTCATAAAAGACAGTATTTAAAGAAGACCTGAAAGTTCTGAAACAGATCTCAAGTTCTCAACTGATATCATAAATTTGAGCGAAACAGTACAAATGGAACACCAGTCCCTTGCCCCCCCCCCCCCCTCTTTCTCCTCTCTGCAGCAGAAGAGCAACAATGGCGGTTGTAACCAAAAAGTGGCAAAAACACAACATACAGTATATCACATTAACTTCATAAGATTCCTCCCTTTTTTTTTTCTTTTTTGTTTCTTCTTTTCTTTTCTTTTCTTTTGTTTTCTTCTCTTCCCTTTTCTTTTCATCTCTTGTCCTCTCCTCTCCTCTCCTCTCCTCTCCTCTCCTCTCCTCTCCTCTCTTCTCCTCCTCCTCTCTCCTCCTCCTCTCTCCTCTCCTCTCCTCTCTTCTACTCCTCTCTCCTACTATTCTCTCCTCTCCTCTCCTCACTTCTCTTCTCCTCCCTTCTCCTTCCCTCCCCTCTCCTCTCTGCTCTCTTCTCTGCTCTTCTCTGCTCTCTTCTCTGCTCTCTTCTCTTCTCCTCTCTTCTCCTCTCTTCTCCTCTCTTCTCCTCTCCTCTCTTCTCTTCTCTTCTTTCCAATTTTTTTTGGTTACGTGTGGCAGATTGTTTACTATTAGGCTGAATTGGATGTCAACCTGTGGAAGCACCCTATGTAACTACTGGACAAATTGCATCAGGTTTTCTTTTTCTTGTACTGCGGGTGCGGACAATCAGCAGGAAAGGAAGTCATACATGTCTTGATACATGCCCTGTTCCCCTCGACGGCTACACACCAGACATAGTCAGAGACAAATTGTGCGCCATTTCATTTACCAGAAGCGGAAGCTGAGTTAGTTGCGGGCTATGACGTAGAATATTCTCGTCTCCTCTCCTCTCCTCATCTCCCCTCTGCTCTCCTCTCATTTCCTCTCCTCTCCTCTGCTCTCCTCTGCTCTCCTCTGCTCCCCTTTTCTCCTCTCCTCTTCTCCTCTCTTTTCTTTTCTTTTCTTTTCTTTCCTTTTCTTTCGTTTCTTTTCTTTTCTTTTCTTCCGTTTCTTTTCTTTTCTTTTCTTCCGTTTCTTTTCTTTTCTTTCCTTTATTTTTTTTTTGGGGAAATTTGTCTGGCGCCCCAGTAATTTCCATTGTTTTGCCTTGTGCCCCTCCGACGGCCGATTTGCCCTGTCGCGAGGCTCTGACCACGATTCAAATTTCCCATAAAACCCTTGCGCCAGTTGGGCCTAAAATATTTTCGTTACGCCCCTACCGGTACCCATTCCAAATCCCTACGGGATAGCCGTTTGAGTAGCAGCACAAAAATTGTCCAGATGCCCCTACCGGTACGGTGCATCTTTTCAGCGCGCCTCTATGGCGACGCACATGGCGGCCACTTCATTTCTCTCTCTCTCTCTCTCTCTCTCTCTCTCTCTCTCTCTCTCTCTCTCTCTCTCTCTCTCTCTCTCTCTCTCTCTCTC